GAGCTGGCGGCCGAGCCCGCGCCCGCGCCGCGCCGGCCCGCGCGCGACTCGCGCACGCCCTCGCCCGCCGGCGCCGTGGTGTCGCGGAAGTCCTCCTTCTGCTCGCTGTTCAAGTCCCGCGAGACGATCGCGTCGCCGGAGTCGCCGTCGGACGCGCTCCGTCGCAAGAAGAGTCTCAACGAGGGCCGGTCGCGGAGCCGAAGCCGCGACCGCTCCGCGACGCCGACGTCTGCGACCAAAATCAAGGGTTCCGTGCTGTCGCTTTTCAAGACTCCGCGGAAGAGCGCCACCTCCCCGTCTCCGAGCTCGCGCGAGGGCTCGCCGGTGGTGCAGGCGCCGCGGCCGGCGGTCCCGCAGGCGCCCCGCCCCACGCGCGGCGAGAAGCTCAAGTACTACGAGGACGCGAAGGATGGAATCATCCACATCCCTCTTCGCACGCCGCCCGACGAGGCCGGCGCTCCCTCGGGAGATCACGACGTTCGACCCGCCTCCGCCCCGCAGCAACGCGGGCCACCCTCTTCCGTCGTGACGTCTGCTGCGGTTCCGTCATCGTCGGCCGGCAGCAGCGTCGCCGCGGGCCCGGCGTCGAGCTCGGTTCACGCCGCGCGATCTCCCTCGAAACCTATCCAACGCACCGTGCTCCCCGACGGGAGCATCATAATCCCGCTTCGCTCACCGACTGAGAAGAACGCCGAGGACGACCTTCTGGCCACCTTTCCGGTCAAATCCAAGACTCCAGAGGAGCCTCGACCGACCGAGAAAACCTCCCGGTCCTCGTCGACGGTGGAAGTCGTTTCCGCCGTGATCAGTCCCGAACCGGTGTCGACGAGTTCCGGTCCGGCGTCCGCGAGCCCCGGGGACGCGGCGACGGGGCCGAGCGCGCCCGACGTCACGCCCTCGCCCGACCCGCCGCCGCCGGTGGCGCCGACCGAGCGGGCGCGGTCGCGGCGCGAGCGCCTCATCTTCACGACCCACGTCGGCAGCGCCGAGCAGGTTTTCTGCACCCAATTCAGTATAACGAAAACGCCGAGCGTCACCAGCGAGATCTCCGGATCCTTTCCGAGCTTCCCCGACGTCGAGGAGGCCGTCGCGGCGGCGTCGACGTCACAAGTCACTTTGGCGTCGACGTCGACCGTGGCCCTCGAGCTCCACACGCCCGCCGCCGAGTCGCACACGCCGGTCAGTCCGGGGGCGGAGACGCCGCGCGGGGGCCCGGCGCCCAGCCCGGGCGGCGCGAGCCCGCAGGACGCCGGGCGCGACTCGTCCGAGTCGGAGGCGAGCTCGGAGGCGGCGCCCGCGCGCGCCGGCAACGACGTGGAGCGGCGCGGGCTGGTCGTGCAGGAGTCGTTCGAGGACGAGCTGCCGTACGTGCCGACCACGCTGCCGCAGGAGCGCTCGCTGGCGCTGCCGATGGTGCCGGTGCGCGAGCGCGGCGGCGTGCGCGTGGCGGCGGTGCAGCGGCCGCGCGCGACGGCGCCCCGGGCC